GAAATATGGAGATGTTTAAATTAGTCTCTTTAGTGTAGTATGAGTCTGAAAAAAAATCAGACAGGTAAGGAATGAGACTGCTAGGAGGGTAGATCAGGTAGTGAAGAAGGATTAAAGTCATTTCTCAGGAACTTGCATGAAAGAGAAGTAACAACAACAACAACAAAAACGACAAGAGGGGAGTGATGAAGGAAACAGGCACTTAGGACCACATGAATGAGGACAGAGTAGGAGTCTGAGTTTGACTAAGTATAACTTTTGGAAGAGCAATGACCATGAAAGGATTGGCTGTGGGGCAGCACACATCTGTCAAGTAACTCTTGGTCGTGCATTGGCTCTGAGACCACTACAAGTTACATAGTGCTTCAGAACCTTAGTTTCTTAAGCAGGAAAATCCTTATGCCAGGTTCAAGGAATTAAATAGCATTTACAAAGATAAAAGTTTCCCTATAAATGCTTATTTCTTTTCCCTGTGCTGTATTTTAAGGGATTTTGAAATTTATAAAGAAATAAGCAGCTGAGCGCTGGTGGCTCACGCCTGTAATCCTAGCTATTCAGGAGGCTGAAATCTGAGGATTGAGGTTCTAAGCCAGCCTGGGCAGGAAAGTCCATGAGACTCTTATCTCCAATAAACCACTAGAAAACCGGAAGTGGCGCTGTGGCTCAAACGGTAGAGCACTGGCCTTGAGCTGAAGAGCGCAGGAACAGTGCCCAGAGTTCAAGCCCCACAACCGACCAAAAAAATAAAAAATAAGCATTTAGGGGCTGGGAAAGTGACTCAGTGGTAGAGTGCTCGCCTAGCAAGCATGAGGCCTTGGGTTTGATTCCTCAGTACCACATACACAGAAAAAGCTGGAAGTGGTGTTGTGGCTTAAGTGGTAGAGTGCTAGCCTTGAGCAAAAAGCAGCTCAGGGACAGTGCCCAGGCTCTGAGTTCAAGCCCCAGGACTGGCAAAAAAGAAAAAAAGAAATAGGCATTTAGTTTACGGAGCTAAGAACAAGAATATTTGAGGCAATGTGAGATATCTGTTCCTTGCAAGGAGCCAGTGAAGAGGGTGAGATTAAACCTTACAAGAAGGGAATGTGTTTGAAGGGAGCTAGAGGTTGAGTAGAGACTTGAAGAGAAGAAAGAATATGCCCCTGCCATCAGCAGGAAGGTCAGAGGAACCAGAGCTTTGTGGAGGGACAGCAAGGGAGCTGGCCTGTGCCAGTGGCTACCACTTGTGTCAACTTGGGCCAATAAGTGCGACCACTCTGCTAAGCCTTCACTTCACTACAATGTTGTAAAGCATGGGGTCTGGTCAGGGTGCTTAAGAGAATGGGGCATGTTTTCAATATTGCTGGGAAGGTGCACACCTAATATCCTCCATTTCGCCTAGGGTCTAAATAATCAGTGTGGCCAGGCGCCAGTGGCTCACGCCTTTAATCTTAGCTACTCAGGAGGCTGAGATCTGAGGATCGCGGTTCAAAGCCAGACAGGAAAGTCCACGTGAGACTCTTATCTCCAAAAAACCACTAGAAAACTGGAAGTGGCACTGTGGCTCAAGTGGTAGAGCGCTCCCTTGAGCTGAAGAGCTGAGGGATAGTGCCCAAGCCCAGAATTCAAGCCCCATGACCAACAAAAACAAAAACCAGTGTGGATGTAGTGCTTGAGAGCACAGGTTCCAGTCTTAAAAAGACCTGGGTAGATGTCATCTGGCCGTAGGTTTGGCTAAGAGACTTTGGGGAAGTGTTCTCATTTTTCTGCCTAAAATTAGGAGAGGACAACCTAAAAGAACTTGGAGGATTAAGTGAGAATGTGAATGAAGCACTCAGCAGGGTGTTTAATGCGTAGTGAGCATTCAGTAAGTAAAGCCTGAGGCTAGGGACTAGATGTTGAGAATGCTTGGGAGCTTTCTTGAGCACCAGGAAGTTCCAGTTGTAGCCAAAGGAAGAAAGAAGTCATTGTGAGACTCTCAGACTCTGGAGATACTGCCTGATCCCTTTGGTTCCACACAATAGCCACATCTGGGGTAAGCTTGGGGCCCAGGTAGACAATGAGGATTTGGACAGTGTGGATTCTCAGGTGTCAGTCTTATGGATCCTCTTTTTAGGGCAGAGGTTTCTTGGGCATCCTGTAGTGCACTCCTCTACTTATTGGCCTTGGGCCTCAGCCCATGGTACCCCTTGCTTCACACACTGCTGTGCCCACAGGACCGGGGCTTCTGTGTGGAGGTGAACACAGCCTTTGAGGACTTCGCCCACGTCATAAGCTTTGACAAGAGGGCTGCTGCGCTGGACGCAGGCAACATCAAGCTGACCTTCAATAGTGTGAGGGGCTGGGTAGGGCGGGGCGGGCTCACTGTTCCTTCTCACTGCCCCACTGTATCCTGGGTTTGAGGAATGGTAGCAGAAGCCCACACCCACTTTCCTACCTCTTAAGTTATACCTGAGTGGGCCCTGGGCATCCACCTTTCCGGGTGACCCTGTGCTCCTTTCTGCCCTCAGCTGCTGGAGAAGGCAGAGGCCCGGGAGAGGGAGCGGGAAAAGGAGGAGGCACGGAGGATGCGGCGCAGGGAGGCTGCCTTTCGAAGCATGCTGAGGCAGGCCGTGCCTGCTCTGGAGCTGGGCACTGCGTGGGAAGAGGTCAGGAGCGCAGCTTGGCCCCAATCACCCTCAAGCCTGAGGGCAGCGGAGCTTCTCCACCACTGAGGGCCCACCCCAGTCACAGCAAAGCCCTGGGACAGCTCCAGTTCCCTTCCTTCCTCTGCCCCAGCCCTGCCCAGTGCTCGTGGCGGTGTCCAAGCCAGGCCAGGCAGGGCCTGGTCTGATCAGCAGTGCTCTCCCCGTTCAAGGTCCGTGAGCGCTTTGTGTGCGACTCAGCCTTTGAGCAGATCACCCTGGAGTCGGAGAGGATCCGGCTCTTCCGGGAGTTCCTGCAGGTGCTGGAGGTGAGGCAGGCTGTTGGTCTTCCTAATCTGTCTTAGGCCCTTGAGTGTTTCAGTGGCCTCTCACCACTAGGGTCTCCTTTCTCAGGCCAGCTAATGAAGGAGGGACTATGAAAGGCTGGCCCTGGGTAGGCAGAAGGCCTAACCTCTCCCTCTACCTCTAGCAGACCGAATGCCAGCACCTCCATACCAAAGGCCGAAAGCACAGCAGGAAGGGCAAGAAGCACCATCGGAAGCGCTCGCACTCGCCTTCAGTGAGTCAGCAGCTAGAGGGGTGTAGGATGAGATTGGATTGTTTTGAATAAACACTGTATGTCTTAGAGGGAGATACAAAGATTTCTTTGGATCTGTACCCTTTGCCCCCAATTCCCAGGTGAGGGTATCTGGTGGCCAAACCACCTCTTTACTGACCTGTATCTGCCCAGGGCTCTGAGTCAGAAGAGGAGGAGCTGCCCCCACCATCCCTCCGACCCCCCAAGCGAAGGCGGCGGAACCCCTCAGAGTCAGGCTCTGAGCCCTCATCATCACTTGATTCAGTTGAAAGTGGGGGTGCTACCCTTGGAGGACGGGGATCCCCATCCTCCCACCTCCTTGGATCAGGTAAGCAGTTGCTAGGAACACGGTAGCCTGAGTACTACCATCCTGACTAGGCAGAGGCTCCAGCCCCATAAAGGCCAGAGTGCTCCCTCATACCATGCACCTGCCACTGCAAAGAATAGACAGTGGGCTGTAGCAAAAAAAAAAAAAAAAAGATGAGCCCCACTTTGAGCCGCAGCTCCACTTCCAGTTTTCTGGTGGTTAATTGGAGGTAAGAGTCTCACGAACTGTCCTGCCCAGGCTGGCTTTGAACTGTGATGTTCAAATCTCAGCTTCGTGAGTGCTAGGGTTATATGTGTGAGCTAGCCCTCCTTTTTTTCTGATGGGATTGTTTTACCTCCAGAGCATGGCCTTCGGAAAGCCAAGAAACCAAAAAAGAAAACTAAGAAGAGAAGACACAAGTCGGTGAGTAGAGAAGGAGCTCATGTAATTTGTAGAACTCTGCCTGCCTCCCAGCAGTCCTCTGCAGTTGCTGAGGGAGGCTCTGAACTCTTACAGAACAGTCCTGAGAGTGAGACAGAGCCCGAGGAGAAGCCTGGCAAAGAGAGTGAAGAAAAAGAACAGGAACAGGCTAAGGACATGGAGCTCCGGCAGGCAGAACTCCCTAACCGCTCCCCAGGCTTTGGAGTCAAGAAGGAGAAGGTGAATGGGAGGCCCAGCCCAAGGCCCCAGTGGTACTCTGTCTCTGTCTAGGGGGCTCAGGTGAGCAGTGCCTTTGCTCCAACAGACAGGCTGGGACACATCAGAAAGTGAGCTGAGTGAGGGAGAGCTGGAGAGGCGCCGGCGGACACTCCTGCAGCAGCTAGATGACCACCAGTGACCTGATGGGCTTCTCTCTGCCTCTGGCCTACATGAGGCAGTGGCTCCAAGGCTACCCTCAGACTCCTGTTTTCATCAGTCTGGTCCATGTCCACTTTTCTTAAAGTAACTCCACCCTCAACGCACCACTTTTGGCACCTACCAAGGCTGCTCTTGGTGTTCAAGGGTCCCCCGGTTCCCAGACAACTAGTGCAGTCCTTGCCCTGAGCCCCAGGCCAGACATGAATGGCCTGTTCCATGTGGGATGGGTGATGCCAGTAGATAAAGTGTATGAGAGAGAAGGGGCCTCCAGGGAAGAGATGGGCTGGTGGACACAGCCTAAGTGGCAGAGGGCAGGGTCCTCACCCTTTAGTATCAGTGCCTGCTCCTGCCTGCCCCAGCCCTGGGGCTCTACCACTGCTTCCTCCAGCCCTGGAACCCAGTGTATGTGTTTTGTTTTTGTTTTTTAAATAACAATATTTATAACATGGCAAGTGACTCTTGTCCTCTCCATGTACTACCTAGGCAGTCTGGGGACTGGACAGGAACGAGCACACGCACACGCACACGCACGCACGACCAGCAGATGGCACTAGCGTTTTTAATAGGCCTCCGTCCCTTTGTGTGGTTGGAGCCCACCCCAGACTGGTTCTCCTTTCTCCAGGTTTCTCAGCTCACCTCCAATCTGCTTTCCATCCCTAGATTCCCAAGCTCAGAAAGAAGAGACATAGTCAGCATGAAGCTTTGAAGCCTTTGTTGAGAAGGAAGGTCTGAGGTTTATGTACAAGAGAGAAGGGATTGGTACATGTACAAAAAGAGATGGCCCCGCATTCCCTTCCAAGGGCTCAGAAGAAGCTGATAGGGAACTGAGTAAAATAGTCTATGAAGATGCTCCATGTGCTATCCCCTGCCAAAAACCACCTAGCTGAAGACAGGACATGGGCTGTTGGCACACCCTTGCTGTAGTGCAGGAGAGCACCTCTACTCTTCAGCTACCTCACAAGGACAGTGTTTGCCTAGCCTGGAAGGGCCAAGGGGAAGGGCACTGGGCCTGACATAGCTCCTCTACCCTTATCTCAAGAGGATAGCAGAGTGTGTGTGGCAGGGCCCAGGCATGGCATAGCCTTGCTTTTGGTAAGAGATATCTGAGACTGGCAGAGTCCCCAGAACTCCCTCAGCCTGGAACTTCTAGACCAAAGAAAAGGGGAAGAAAGGGGGAGGGAATACAGTTCTCTTATCCCATGGAACTCTAGTGGGAGAGGAGCCTGGGGGACTATGCTGGAAGTGGTTTTTCCCAGCTCAGAAATGACCCTCCAGGAAATGAGGACTATGGGGCAAAGTGCAGCACGGGAGGCACTAAGGAAGTGCCAGGACCCCAGAGACCAAGTGTGTATAATGGTTCAGCACAGCCTTTTGCCAGGCCCATTGCTTCAGGTCAGGTTCCTTGTCTAGACTTGGAGAACTCAAGAGTTGAAGTGCTTCTGCTTCCAAGAGGGTCAGGTCTCTCAGTGGGGGCCTGGGGCCCGAGGGTGTACACTGAATGGTGCAGCACTCCTGGCTTGGTGGCGAACAACAACAGGCTGGTGGCGGAGGCCTGTGGGGAAGACAAGAGGCCTGTGAAGGAGCAGGAAGACTGAGCAGGGCAGGGGAGCAGCAAGCAGTGGAGATGAGGAGGAGCTTGGAGAGACTTTGGCCTGATGGAGAGATGGATAGCTCTTTTTGTTTTTCCAGAAGATGAGGTGGGGTGAAAAGAGGCTGTGGCACAGAGACAAGGTAAACTCAGGAAGAGACCCCAGGCCAACCAGATGTCAAGAAGCAGAGCTCAAGTGATATCTGACGGTCCCTGGCAGCGGCTACTGCTGAACTCTTTGGAGAAGCCTAAGGATCCCTGCCCTAGGAATGGAGCTTTAGCAGTCCATAACCACAGGCCTGGTCCTGCCTGCTCTGGCACAGCTCCCTGGCCTGGCAATTCACTATCACTTGAGTCTGAGTCTTAGTAGAAGCCAGGAGACAGCATTAGTGGGGGAGAGAGAGAGACCATTTCCCCAAGGGCACATGCAGGAAATAAGCCATGCTTCTCAGAGCATGGAGCATGCAAGAAATAGGTGTTCCCATTGCTAGGAGGCTGACACAGGATGCTTCCAAGGCATGCAGGAGTTGCCTGTGATTCCTGTAGTTGAGGAAGGCGGGCATGCAGAGGGGGCAGCTGTGGTGCCTGGTACCTGTCAGGGGCCCCAGGCTTGGGGGTTAACAGTTTGATTCATCATGGTGGGCTGTATCACAGAAGAAGCGTGAGCCCCGCTTGGCAGTACGGGCCGTGAAAGGGACACTCTTCAGCACTGTGGCCCAGGAGAGAGACACAGCCGTCAGGCCTCATGGGGATGGGGGAGTGGGAGGAAGGCCTGAGGGGTTAGGTTGGGCTCTGGGAGCTGGGCCCAATAGGTAGGTCCTGGGACGAGCAAGACCCCACCTGTAATGATGTCCTCAATGGTACCGTCCTTTCCCTCATAAACAGGCCGGTGCTCCTTAGCCTGGCGCCGCCTCAACTCTGCAATTAGCTCCTGTTGTTGCCACTTGTTCCTCTGGGATGGAGTCTAGGGCCAACATTGGAGGGGGAAGGAACTCACTAATTTGACAGGGGACTGGTTCCTGTCCCAAGATTCAGTTTGAGAATGCCTCTGCACTGCTGGGAATCCCCCTCTCAATCCCTCTGGCCTTCAATCCCCTGGCCCTCTGGGAATCTGTTCCAATTTTCCATCTTTTTTCTAGCTCTGTTCCTCCTCAGCCCCCAGTTCTTTGTCTTGCTGCCTTCTCCAGGCCAGCTCTTGGTTCCACCCACCTTGGCATCCAGCTTTTTGGCTTCCTGAGCCAGCTGCTTCTCCCTCATTACCTCCTCCTGCTTCTTCCGGGCCTCATTCTCTTGTTCTGCTTCCTAAGAACCACAGGGGTGGAGGGTGAGGTTCACACACGCTGGGAGAGGAGGGACTAAAACATTGAGGGTGGAGAGTAGGTGGCAGTGGGACCAGCTAACCCCAGGTGGCCACACTCTGGAGGGGCACTTCCTGCCCTGAACAATGACAGGAAGGGCCTGGGCCCCCACCCTGCCTACTAGTTCACAGTTAAGAGGCCTGTCACCAGCCCTCCTTGTCCTCCATTGCTCTCTCCCCAGAACAGCCCACAGCTGAAGCCCAAGTGCTCTCCCCCAGTAAATTTTGTCTTAGCTGAACTCATTAAAAACTCTACAGCTTACCTTGTAAGAACGAATGAATCTGACAAATACTGGGAAAAATACAGAAGGAGGTGTGGTCTTGGGACTCTCACCAAAGTAGCGCACAACTGCATTGTAGGCCTCCTAAGGAAGGGATGGGCGGAGGGATAAGCCTGGTAGGCAGAAATTCAACTAACACACTAGAGACATGAAAGCAGAGCCTGGAGCCAAAAGCTGGAAAATCAACCACCTGAGCTTCTGAACTAGAAAAAATGTAAGTTCCCCAAAGCTCTCAATCTCTAGCCACAATGGTCACCTCTAAAGCATTGTCTTCCTCCTACATACAGCTAGTCAAGAGTTGGAGGCTTACCTGGCTCTAGTGCCTTGGTCCTGGCTCTTCCCACCCCCTCCATCCTTTGTTTACCTCAGCTGTCTTGGCATCACGCTGGAGCTTGTCCAGTTTGCCTTCATTGGTATTGAGGAAGCTCCGAAGGACACTGTTGTCATGAAGGCTGCACTCGCGCCGAATTAGCTCCATACCCCGGCCCAACTCCTTCACGTCTAGCAGCACGTTCTCCAGGGACACTGTAGTCACCAGAGGCCTGGCTGAAACCAGCCCAAGGCTTCCACAACCTTGCCCTCCCCCAGACATAGGCTCCCTTGGGGTCTCACACCCATGTGGACATGTACCAAGCCAGTTGAGTTCTAAGAGGCAGGGGAAACAAATGGAGGCTATGAGCTCAAGACCCCAAAGAACAAAATCAAGGGGGAACTGCTGCTTTTCACAGTGCAGCTGTTTTGGGCTTGTATCTGCTTTTGCAGCTGTGGTAGAAACAAGTGCCCTATGTCTATGGAGGACATTTATAGTTCTTAGAATCACACTGCATATGTTCAAGACAAATGCTGTCTCTGGACCACTTCGTGGAGGATGGGAGTAAAGTCCTTGCTCCCCTTCCTGTTCCCACTCCCAGGGTTGGGCTGGGCTTAGGAGGACTCTGGGTGGCTCCTTCGGAAAGCTTTGAAGTTGTCAGAAAGAAGATAACAAAAGCCAGAAACAAATGGAACCAAGCATTCCCTCTCATAGCTTCCAGGGATTGTCCTAGGCTGGATGAGAGGGCAGGGCCACCCAGCCAGGCTCCCCTCACCTGCTGCAGCCTTCTCCACAAAGTGTAGCTCATGCCAGAAGTTAGCTAGGTCTGGGTATTTCTCCTTCACTGTCAAGGCGATGAAATGGAGAAGTGTCATCTTCCGGTCAGTGGACTTTGTGTCCAGGAGCTGTGAGGGAAGGGACCAGAGAGCTGAACATGCTGCTCTACCACTGCTTACCTAGCTTCCCACCCATGCTGTCCCTCCATTTACCAGATCTAGACTTTGGAGCTTGAAGCCATACACAGCTCCTCGCTTGCTGCTGTTCATGTAGTTCCCCAGTGCAAGTATGATCTGTCCATAAAACGTGAGGGGTGAGCAGTTCAGACCAAGCTCCAAGGCTACTTCCTCTTCTCCATATCACCCCAGGCCCCTACCCTGTACATGGGAACCAACAGCACCCTATTTATCTCCTCTCCCTACCTCCAGCATCTGCTTCAGTTTCTGTGAGGACTTGACTGAAGCTGAGGCCGCAATGATGGCATTCAGTTGCTAGAAGAAGAGATGAACAGAGTCACCCAGGCTGGGAGAGAGGTAAAATTGGAGTGGCTATAAAGACTAGCAGGGAAGCCAGGCGCCAGTGGCTCACACCTGTAATCCTAGCTACTCAGGAGGCTGAGATCTGAGGATCAAGGTTCAAAGCCAGCCCGGGCAGGAAAGTCGGTGAAACTCTTATCACCAATAAACCATCAGAAAACTAGAAGTGGCGCTATAGCTCAAGTGTTAGAGAGCTAGCCTTGAGCTGAAGAGCTGAGGGACATAGTTTAGGCCCAGAGTTCAAGCCCCATGACTGACCCCCCCCCCCAAAAAAAAAGACTAGCAGGGAAGATGGCTAGCAGGGATGGAATGGGATAGGTCACAGTGGGGGTCTGTGATTTGGGTGGGAGCTATACCGGTGTGAGCATTTGCAGGTTGTCCTGAAAGTTGCCCAAGAAGGCCATGCCGGCCATTCGCTGGGTGAGCCGCTCCACCTTGCTGAAGAGCAGCATGAAGCGGTCCTCTGCTGCAAGCTCTTCCAGAGGCTGCCGCTCACGCTCATATTGTCGCAGCAGCTTCACCTCAGCCTCTGTGGGCAGGAAGCGCATCAGGCACTCAACAAAGTCCACTGGTAGTGTCTGCAGGTCAAACCTGTGTAGGAAAGAGGACCACCTTAGACCTGGCATTTGTCCACATTCCCCTCATCCCTAGAAAAATCAGTTAGGGGTGGGGAAGCCGTGCAGAGGACACAGCAATGATCGTGGGGAATGTTCCAGGCTTCTGTTTAAAAGCCTTTCAATAACTTCCCTCTGTACGTATGGTTAAGTATTAACACTTGGATGACTTCTGTCTACTGTCTGCCCTGCCTGCAACTTCCTATCACATTTCGTTTTTAGTATCCAAAGTACCAGGCTCCTTCCTCTGGGCCTGAACTGCACTAACCTGTGTACTTCCTTCAGTCCCAGTTGAGACAGCACCTCTTCTAGGAAGGACTACTCCACCCTGACCAAACTCAGCCATATTGCCTCTCCTACCTATATCCTACCAGCCTGGTGATATCTGCTTGGTGTTACTGCACTGTTCCCACCAGTTAAGAATTCTCTGGGTAAAAGCCTGGGCTGAATCTGTACCTCCTCATTCTGTGTCTGACACAGCACAGATGCAGTAAGTTCTGCCCAGTGGATGACTGAAGTGTGTGAGAAAGTTCTGTCAGGAACCCTAGAAACTGGGAAAAGCCAAACTCTTCAGTGGATAAATAGGTTGCTGATTGTCTGGGGCCCCAAGGCCTCAGGGGAGGGAGCCTCACGTGTGGATGGCCCTGCAGATCTCCTCAGCTGAGCGGCCAGCTTTGCGTAGGGTGATGGCCAGGTTCTTGGCACGGTTGGCTTCTAAGAGGGTCACCTTGCTGGCAGCCTTTTGTGCTGTTTTATTTTTGGAGCAGATGAGGTCAAGAGCAGGGCCCTGGGCTTTTGTCTTAAACAAATCTTCAAACTTGTCCAGGTCCAGGTCCTGGCAGAAGTACGTAAGAAAGGACAATGATTCAGTCTCACACTATGAGAGCACTGACAGCATGCCCAGCATGGGCCCAACTCTGGCTCCTGCAGGACAGAATTGGAACTGACCCATTCTGGTTGAGGGCTTTTCCAAGTCCAGGAGACCTGGCTAAAAGAGCAGCCTAGTATCCAACCCCCAGCCCTCTAGGCCCTAAACCCTGTCACCTCCAAGATCTTCTCATCATCAAGTTCACTGAAGACAGTGCCACTGATCTGATTGGGTTTCAGTGCTGTCCAGTTGAAGACTGGTAGCCGGAACTTGGTCTTGATAGGTTTCTTAATGCGAATGGCTAGTTTAGAAAGATGACCAGTAAGGCAGAGCCCAAGGATACATTTTCCTTGTATCACCAGCCTGCCCAGCACCCTGGGGACTCACCTGACAGGCCCACCGTCAGTACTACTGAGGGAGCAGCACCAGGGAGAGGTGGGGCTGGGGGACACTTGTCTGGAGGAAAAAGGAATGGTACATTGATCCACAGGGTCATGAATCTCTTCCCAGGCCACCCTCACCACCTGTCCATATTCCACCCTATGTGGAATCTGCTCAGGCTACTCCCAGGAGCCTTTAATAACAGCTCAAGCTAGTCTCAGACCATTTCAGTTAAGCCTCTGCTTGGCTGATCTCAGAGGAATTAGGAGCAACATCTTGAAGATCTTAAAAGCAGGTTCTGTTCCTGCCACTCCTCCACTAGTAACCTGTGCTGCTTTATACCTGCTTCCACTCTCAGCCTTCTCATCCTCACTTCCTATCCTTCCAGCCCTCAAATGATGCAATCTCCCAGCTACTCTTCCAGGAAGACACTCCTGACTACACATTTGGCTCCCATAAAAACATTGTTCCTTCCAGCTCAGAGGTCTTGGTTACCTGGTAATGGAGGAGGGGGTGGAGGCAAAGGTGGAGCTGGTGGAGGGGGCAGAGGAAGGGCTTCCTCAGCCAGGGGGGCTGAAGCCAGCAGGTCCAGGTCAGAGGGTGGTATGCCTTCACTCAGCTCTGCAGGGCCTATCCTGGCCAGGACCTCTCCACCCACAGACTCCAGGCCCCGGGCACTTGGCTCCAAGTGGCATCGGCGTTGGAAGGCCTCCTCCTTCTCCTTAATGAGCCTCCGAAGGGTATGCACCTGGTGGTTTGTGTTCTCGTATGTCTCCTATCAGCCATTGAGGAAAGTGGATGGGGGATGGGGTTTAGAATCACAACAGCTGCTGCTACCAAGGAATGAGAATTCCTACCCAAGGGACCAAGGGATCTATGAAGGTATTCAGAAAAGCACAATTCCATGTGGGGAGCAGAGGTAAGAAGAAGAGCTGGCCTGCCTCCACTAGTACCTGGATGAGTCCTTCCTTCCTGCTCCAGTCTAGTCTCATCGCGAAGGCCACTCAAACCCCCAGGGAAAAGGATCCCCCTGAGAAACACTCCCTTTGGACCACTGACAGTCTGACACTGCTGCTCTCTCCATAACCTTTTGCTTCTCACTACTTTTTTTTTTCATTTGGCCATGGTATATCATTCATTTGGAAGTCCCATGGACAGGCCTTGTATGAGCCATCTCTAGACCCTCATAGCTCTGTATTTAACATGGGCTGTGTATATATAAACACACAAATATATCCACATGTACACGTGTGCCCAAATACATATGTATGCACATACATGTGTGTGTGTGTGTAGCAACAGAGCCAGTATAATCATATTCCTCCAGAAGAAAACAAAGGTGGAGGCATGGCTTTATAACCAATAACAAGGTAGGCAAGGAGACCAAAAAAGGGACAAATATGATGAACCCCCGACCTTCTAATCTAGGATGCCTGGTAGAACCTAAGAAAAAGCCAGAGTAATGGGCTACTCTGATCCTGCTCTGTAATCAGGGATGAGGGAGTGCATGAAGAAGGCAGTCTCGCCTGAAGACTCCAGTGATGCTTATGAGTACCACATCCATTCTCACCCAGTATGTCTGGCCCACTCTGGTTTCAGCTTCCTTCTTCAGCTAAAAAATGGGATTATTAGCCGGGTGCTGGTGGCTCATGCCTATAATCCTAGCTAATCAGGAGGCTGAGATCTGAGGATCGCTGTTCAAAGCCAGCCCGGGCAGGAAAGTCTGTGAGACTCTCCAATAAACCACTAGAAAACCGGAAGTGGTGCGGTGGCTCAAGTGGTAGAGCACTGGCCTTGAGCTGAAAAGCACCCAGGCCCAGAGTTCAAGCACAAAAAAAAAAAAAAAGGGATTATTTTGGAGCAGCAGCAGTTCACACCTGTGATCCTAACAACTCAGGAGGCTGGGATCTTAGGATTGTAGATCAAAGCCAACCCTGACCAAGAAAGTCCATGGGACTCTTAGTTCCAATTAGCCACAAAAAAGTCAGAAATGGAGCTATAGTTCAAGTGGTAGAGCACTATCTTGACTAAAAACACTCAGGCACAGTGCCCAGACCCCAAGTTCAAGCCCCAGGACTGGCACAAAAATATGGGTGAAATCATCAGCTCATCATAACTGAGGAAAGAAAAGCAAGGCCCCAGACCATGGAGCCCAGGTCCTCTCTTCCCCAGATTACTGAACCTTGATGCTCTCCAGCTCTTTCTCTCGCTGCAGCAGCTGCTTCTCCAATTCAGCCACCCGCATCATGTTCTCATTTTCCAGGTCCAAAAGCTTTTCTGTGAGCTGCAAGATGGGAAAGGCAGGATTATATTAAAACCTTGGCACCCAGGATAGCCTGACACCCAGTCAGGACCAGGGCACCCCCACCATAATGCTACAAGGGCAAGCGGCTTCCCTACGAAACTCATGGGCCAGGGTCTAATACATGAAATAGGAACAGAGCTTAGCACCCATGGCTCACTTGCAATGCTAGCTTCTGAATAGCCTGAGACCAGGAGGACTGTGGTTTGGAAGCCAATGAAGGCAGAAAAGTCTAAGAGAGTCCATCTTCAATTAACCAACAAAAAGCCTGACTTGAGGTGTGGTTCACTGGTCCAGTGTGAACAAGCTGTGAACAAGCAAACCAACTAAGTGAAAGGTCCTGAGTTCAAGCCCCGGTACCAGCAAAAAAGAAAAAAGAAAGAAACCAAAGTGGATAGATACAAGGCAAGTGGTGGTGTCCTCAGCCTGAGGTCACCTAATGCCCAGCATGAAGGTCACTGTATGTATGTGTCCCAGTAAGGAGTCCAGTGAATCAAGCCAGAGCCTTGATGGTTCTAAAGCCTTCTTGAGGCTTAGTATGGAGACAAGTAGATCAGCTCAGGATTTCTGGAACTTAAATGATGCCCATCCCCCACCCTCAACACTAGCTTGAATGGCAAAAGAGACCACCTACATGAGACACGTGCTCCTCCAGCTCTTCCACCTTCTCCAGGGCTACATTCTTAGTTTCAGCATCTTCTAACAATCCCCCAACATCAAACACGTTGTCCAGATATGCCTGAATCTGCACCTGCAGCTTCTCACTCTCCGTGTGCCTTGACTTCTGGGGAAAAGCAAAGAGAGTAGTAGTTGAGCGAGCTAGCAGAGGACTGAAGGGGCTCCTGGAAAATCTTCATTCTCATTGTCTCCCATTACCACTTCCTAGAACACACAATCAGCATCATGTTAGAGTCTGGTTCCAATGAAGTTACGGGACTGGAGAGCTCTCTGCAAGAGGTCCTGAGTCCCAGAGAAGACAAGTAGATTTTAGAAGTATCCAGGACTAGATTCTTGTAAAAAAATAAAATAAAATAAATTTTTTTTGGTCAGTCATGAAGTTTGAACTCTGGGCCTGGGCACTGTCCCTGAGCTCTTCAGCTCAAGGCAAGTGCTCTCCCACTTGAGCCACAGTGCCACTTCCAGCTTTCTGGTGGCTAATTGGAGATAAGAGTCTCATGGACTTTTCCTGCCCGGGCTGGCTTTGAACCGCCATCCTCAGATCTCAGCCTCCTGAGTAGCTAGGATTACAGGTGTGAGCCACCAATGCCCGGCTTTAAGCATTCTTTGTGCTGGGTCTAAGATTCTCTATCTCCAAATGCTTTACTTGATCAGGACCCCGACCAGCTCACCTGCAGGAACTCCTCTAGCCCCAGCTTGGTAAACTCATACTGCAAGTGGACCCGGAAGTTCATGTCTTCCACTGAGTGCACCACAATGTTGATGAACTGCATGCAGGCCACCTGGGAAAGGGCAGAATACCAAAATACAGTCAATATGGTTCCTGACCTTAAGAAGCACATAGTTCTTTCTGATGGGTATGCACTGGCCTAGTTCCTCACCATGAAGTCAATGTTGCTGTCTTCATTCCGGAAGTATTCCATTAGCTTCTCAAATCGATGCAGCTCCTTGCACACCTGAACCAGCAAACTTTCTCAGGGAAAGGATCTGCTCCACGCAGAACCCAAACCCCTGAACCATGGCTTCCAGCAGCATTATGGTCAAAAGCACCGGTTCCGACTAAGTTTAATCACAACTCTATCTAGGGAATGATCCATTTTGAACACTAAAAGAAAACTGGGGACCTGGAATCTGGCCCTGGGAATCTGGTCTCCTACCATCCCGAACCAAGTAAAGCCTGTGCCCTTGGATTGGGTATTAGGTGCCTCTGGTCAGGTTACGAGGGGAAACAGGGAGATCTGATGTGTCTGAGTTAAAAGGAGGGCTGGCTACAAGTGGCTCATGCCTGTAATCCTAGTACTCAGGAGGCTGAGATCTGAGGGTCGCTGTTCAAAACCAGCCTAGGCAGGAAAGCCCATGAGACTCTTATCTCCAGTTAACCACCAGAAAACCAGAAGTGGTGCTGTGGCTCAAGAGGTAGAGTTAGCCTTGGGCTGAAGAGCTCAGGGATAGCACCCAGGCCCAGAGTTCAAGCTCCATGACCGACCAAAAAAAAAAAAAAACACCGACAAAAAAAAAAAAAAAAGTTAAAAGGAGGGATTCCGCCATGACTGAAGCAAGAGACTGAGGTCCCAGGGATCCACAGGGGTGGGACTAGTACAGGAAAGCCCTCTACTGAGAGGGGTCCAAGGGCTCCTCAGAGCCCCTGAGCTTCAAGGAGGAAGAGCTGTTTCCTGGATTGAACAATGGATGCTAGGAAAGAGGTCCAGAGTAGAGGAAGGGGTGGGAAGACAGCTGTGGCTGATGTCGAGGAATCCCACAGTGTGCTGAAGCACTGTGGTTGCAAAAGTAGTCTGGGAGCTGGGGAAATTCCACACAGGAGTTCTCTCTCCCCTCACTAATGGTTATATCAACAGCCCAGGAGACATCCTTTTCCTATGTAAACTAGGTCCCTCCAATGGGTTCACAGCAGGAGGACTGCCTGGGGAGTCTTGTAAAGAGCAGATGCCCAGGCTCCAGTGGGTCAGAAGAGGGGTAAAGGAGTCTACACTTTTAACAAGCTCCTCTGGTAATTCTGATGGCCATTAGATTAGGATCACTGCACTATAGAGCTCAGAACATTCATTCTTAGCCAGCTAATTGGCAGGCTTCCTGCCATGAGACCTAACGGGATTGAAGTTGATTTTGCTTTAGTTTTTGTTCCTGCTCTGGGAAGCAGGCTATTTAGCCAATCAGAGATGTTAAAACCACTGGAAATCCTAAGAAATGGTGCTTACCTATCTGACTCCCTGCCTTCTCCCCGTTTGCCCCCCTGCTCCTACATAGAAACATGCCAGCAGGAGACTGACCTCTTTGAAATTGTCAAAAGCAGCAAGAATAATTTCATGACCTCCTCGCACCAAACACACAGCTGCCAGGAGTTCCAAGACCAGAGCTTTGGTCCTAAGGAAGGAAGATTAGCACCTTAATCAGGCCACCACACAGTTCATGTCCACAACTGCGGAGTTGTTCTGTAAGGTAGATCCAGCCTCAGTAGTGAGGAAAAGGGTAGGCTTTAGAAAGGTGAGAGAATCAAATCCCAGTACAGCCAAAACAGAATATACATTTTAAAAAAGGACAAAGGTGGCTTAGTGGTAGAGCACTTGCCTTGCATGCATGAGGCCCTGAGTTCGATTCCTCAGCACCACATAAGCAAAAAGAAAAAAGCCAGAAGTGGCGCTGTGGCTCAAGTGGTAGAGCGTTAGCCTTGAGCTGAAGAGCTGAGGGACAGCGCCCAGGCCCAGAGTTCAGGCCCCACGACCGGACCCCCCAAAACAAAAAGACAAAGCTCAGAACTAGTAAGAGGGATGGTTTTATCACCTAAGAATTAAACTGCTGAGGACTGTCAAGTTTTTCTACCCTTGATTCAAGTTGTATTAATTTTTTTTTTTAAGAAAGGTGAGAGAAGCTGGGCTCTGGTGGCTCACACCTGTAATCCTAGTTACTTAGGAGGCTGAGATCTGAGGATTGATGTTCAAAGCCAGCTGGGTAGAGAAGTCCCTCTGAAACTCTTCTCTCCAACTGACCACTCAAGAACCGGAAGTGGTGCTGTGGCTCACTCAAGTGGTAAAGCACTAGCCTTGAGCACAAACAGGCTCAGGGATAGAATCCAGGCCCTGAGTTCAAGCCCTACAACTGACAAAACAAAAGAAAACATAACAGAAGGAAGGAAGGAAGGAAGGAAGGAAGGAAGGAAGGAAGGAAGGAAAGAAGGAAGGAAGGAAGGAAAGGTGAAAGGAAGATTTGCTCCCTCAATAATTGTGCAGACCAGAAGGAAGCCAGGGACACTTTTCCAGCAAGATGGGGGGGGGGGGGGAGGAAGGAGAATCAAAGGTCTGACTCTGGCTACAGAACCACAAATCCAGGCAGGACTTGTCCAGGATAAGTGCAACCCAGATCTTTGGAGCCCTGAGCAGAATGAGGAGGAAAGGAACTCACCTTGGATTCTTGTTGTTGAGGCTGAGCGCAATTTCATTGACAGCATGGGGATGGGACATGACCAAATTGAAGCCATACTGTAAGCAAAGAGATAGGAGAGGCCCTTGTTGGTAAGAAAGGGAGAGCCTAGCCAATCTCCTTGGCCACAAACTTACTGGCAAACCTGTCTTTTAAAAGCAGTGCCCTGGTAGCTGTCCTAATTCAACAGATGAGGCAGAAGTAGAGCACCTGTAGCTAGTGCTGCCTCTTACCTGATAGTTCATGATGGCTCTGAGACAAAGGATACAGACGTGAACATCATCCTTTTGGCTCACTAGGCGGGAGTTCTTCAGGGCCCTGCGGCCAGGAAGAGTGCTGTATCTGGAGGAGAGGGCCAGTCAGTCAGGTGGGTGTTGAGGCTGCTGAAGGATGCAAAAGCACTCCTCATCACCCAGACAGCAGGCTGCCCCTTGGCAGCGGCAGATATGGGGAAGGAGGAGTGTGTGCCAACAACCCTGAGAGCGCAGGAGGCAGGGCAGTCAGCCTGTGCTCACCTCTCTGGAAGAGGCCTTTGTTCACACCTTCCTAGGATCCAAACTTTATCATCAGCGTTTAAATCATGCTAACTCCAGAGACCTTTTGAAATACACAGACCTGATATCTTTGTAGTCCTGTAGACCTATAGTCTGTATTTCCAGAAAGACATTTATCCAAACTGCACTTTTCATGGAGTAGGAAAATCTTGGCTCTCATCCCGTTATTATGACTCCAAAAGGCAGGGCACACCCCCACAGGTGTAAGGGAAGCCAAGGGGCTACACCTGGCTTTGTACCACCCCTTTGCAGCCTCAATGATGAGTTTGTGAAGAGAAATTTTAAAAAGAGTATGGATCTGCTCCTTCAAGACAAGAATGATGAGCACTCTGAGGGACAAAACCCAAAGGAGAGAAATAGGGCCATAAGAGAAACAAGCCAGAGCCTCCTGTGGAGGATGGGTGAGGGAGGCTCTGAGAAGCCATCTAGTCTACTAGCAGATGGCTCTTAAAACACCATAGACAAATGAAGGCACAGCAGCTTTGGAGAAAAAAGGCCAGAGGAAGAAGAACAGGGAAGGAGAGGAACAGGCAGGTAGGTTCTAGCTGGTCTCTGAGAACTGGATGGGCAGAGTGGGAGTTAGAGGTAACAGCTGGAACTGGATCAGCCAGTAAAGCCTGAGCCCTGCCTGAGAGTTTGGGGGAGAAATGGCTGAGAGTGAGGAGTGGAGGAGGGGGAGAGCTGGAGCCCCAGGTGAGGCAGCACAGCAAAGGACGATGTACTTACCCAGGACAGACCGCTGGGCAGTCAGGGAGACAGAGAAAACAGACCAGAGACAGACGGGCAGGCAGAGGGCAAGAGAGCTGAGCCTAGAAGCAAGAGTGGAGGGAGGAGCATGAGCACTCACCGCAGTTACTGAGACCTGGACTGGGGCTGGGGTGGGAGGCAGGCGGGCAGAGCGAGCACACACATACCGGAGCACAGACTGGCGCGCAGAGCGAGCGAGGCTGTTGGTGAAGGGGGCCGACAGGATGCTGGGCGGCTGCAGGTCCTCGATTGACCTGCTCCAGGACCGGAGTTTGTCAAATGCACCATCATCACCACTCTCCAGACCCTCAAAGTCAAACCTGGAGCATGAAAGGACACACATGCGCACACACAGGCACATACACAAGAGACATTTTATGCTAAGCCCTTGACAGGCCCACATCCCATTTTCCAGGCCTCTAGGGCAACAAGAAGCAAGGGCAGCAAGAGAAGAAAGCAGAATTGGGCAGCAAAGACTCCATTCTGGTTAGGCGCCATCACTATAGGACAAGAGCAGAGAGGCTGAGGCAGCTTCAGGAGGGGGATCTAAGAACAGGGAATGCTTAGAATCTGGCTTCTCTGTTCCAAACTAGCCAGGAATTCCAGGAGTGGCCTCCCCATGGACCAAGGATTATGGCGGCTAGCTGGCTCCCTGCACTCCAAGCATCTCACTGAAGGGACATCTCCAAGAAGCTGTGGTTCCATATGGAGAATATAAATATAGCCTAAGGAGGAAGTGGTGGGGACTGGCCCAACTGCAGGTTGCTCATTGGTCAGTGGCAGTGACTAAAGGGCCTCTCAGTGTCCTGGGAGACGCCTAGTTTGTTCTGGATTGGGTAGATGGAAGGAAGAGGATGGTGTTCCAGAACACCCAAGCCCTTTATATTTAGGAACTGCACCACTGTCCCATGCCAGCACTGGCTTTAAGGGGTTAATGAAACTAGGGCTGTGTGGCAGGCTAGCGTGCTAGGCAGGCACTCTACCACCTGAGCTACACCTCGAGCCTCAGCACGGAGTTTTTTAAAGGCTAAATTTTCTATAACTGGCTATTTGAGACTTCTATATTTTTTTTGGGGGGGTCCAGTTGTGGGGCCTAAACTCTGGGCCTGGGCGCTGTCCCTCAGCTCTTCAGCTCAAGGTTAGTGCTCTACCACTTGAGCCACAGCACCACTTCTGGCTTTTTTCTTTTTGCTTATGTGGTGGTGAGGAATCGAACCCAGGGCCTCATGCATGCAAGGCAAGCGCTCTACCACTGAGCCACCTTCCCAGCCCTTGGAGACTTCCATATTTTTCTAATATAGAAGTTCCTTGGCTTCAGCTTCTGGGGGGAAGAAATTGCAGGCTGAGATTGTGACTAGGGACAGAAAACCCGCAGGAGTTGGGGTGGCTTCTCTGTCACTTGTTTCTGAGGTCCTGTCTCCTTTGTGAGTGAGTGTGTCCAGGGAAAAGAGAACGGCCAAGGCCAGAAACCCACAGGGCTGTCTCTTACACTGCCATCAAGGCACACCCACTAAGAACAGACTGACTCACCCTTCCTGTCCACTACTCCGAAGGACACTAAGGACTAGAGAGAATCTCCCACAGGCTCTTCTCCCCACAGGGCATCCTGCTCTGCAAACATATTCCAAGTCAAGGCATGGACGGGGGCTTTCTGGGACAGTAAACAATATCCACAAATGCTGAATATGCCAAAGGAGGCAGAGACAGGTGTTGATACCTGGTGATCAGGAAGTGGTTAGGGGGGCTCTCTAGTAGATATCAAAGGAAACGCCCTGACAGGGAGACAGCTTGCTGGTAGCTTTTTTCTCTCTTTCTCTCCATCAGTCATGGTACTCCTGAGCACTTATACCTCCCTTCACTTAAACTCTACATGGCCTCACCCTTTTCTCTCAAACTTTCCCAAAACACACTCTCCTATCCCAGAGTTTTTTTTGCCAGTCCTGGGGCTTGAACTCTGGGCCCAGACGCTGTCCCTGAGCTCCTTTTGCTCAAGACTAGCATTCTACCACTTGAGCCACAGAGCCATTTCTGGCTTTTTCTGGTGGTTTATTGGAGGTAAGTGTCTTACGGACTTTGTTGCCTGGGCTGGCTTTGAACAGCAATCCTCAGATCTCAGCCTCCTGAGTAGCTGGGATTACAGGCATGAGCCACAAGCTCCCAGTGAGTCTTTCCTTTTAAAACATTCAGCGACACTTCCTTGGACACTAAAGCACCAAGGGTCTAGAGAGAGTATTCTTGGTTTAGAGCAGCTGGGATTTGTTTACTTTTCAAGTATGATAGGTTTATTTGGAAAAATGATCTATATCTTTTTACTATAAAAGTTCTGAATTTAGCCAGATGCCGGTGGCTCATGCCTGTAATTTTAGCTACTCAGGAGGCTGAGAACTGAGGATTATGGTTTTTTCAAAGCCAGCCCAGGCAGGAAAGTCTGTGAGACTTTTATCTCCAATTAACTACCAGAAAACAGGAAGTGGTAGAGTGCTGGCCTTGAGCTAAAGAGCTCAGGGATAGACCCCAGGCTCTGAGTTCAAGCCCCACAACAGACAAAAAAAAAAGTTCTGAATTTTAAAAAGTCATTTCAGCACATGCTTTTCATTTCTTTCTATTCAAAGAGTAGGGACTGGAAGAGTGGCTCAAGTGGTATAACACCTAGTTAACAAGCTCAAGGTACTAGGTTCAAATTCCAGTACCACTCCCCACCCCCCAAAAAAAGAATTATTTAAAGAGATAGGAAGGCCAGGTGCTGGTGGCTCACGCCTGTAATCCTAGCTACTTAGGAGGCTGAGATCTGAGGATCATGGTTCAAAGCCAGCCCAGGCAGGAAAGTCCATGAGACTCTTTTTCTTTTTTTTGCAGGGGGGGGGTGGAGAGCTGAACTCTGGGCCTGGGCGCTGTCCCTCAGCTCTTCAGCTCAAGGTGAGCACTCTACCACTTGAGCCATAGTGCCACTTCAGGCTTTTTTCTTTTTGCTTATGTGGTGCCGAGGAATCCAATCCAGGGCCTCAGACATGCAAGGCAAGCACTCTACTACTGAGCCAACTTCCCAGCCCCTCCATGAGACTCTTATCTCCTATTAACTACCAGAAAACTAAAGTTGCTGTGGCTCAAGGTGGTAGAGAACTAGTCTTGAGCAAAAGAGCTCAGGGACAGCTTCCAGGCCCCAAATTCAAGCCTCTCAACCAACACATACACAGACAAAAAAAAGGGATAGGAAGATCAAAAAGTATGCTTTCTGAAGGGATAGGAATTAGGTATAGGCCACTCTCTGGTTTAGTAGAGGATGATCTGAGTAAGGTGATAGGAAGGTCAAATCTGGGAGAGACAATATTAGGTACCTCACAGGAAATGAGACCTGCTAGATAAAGGAGAACAGACTTAGGGACAGGGACAATAGAAAACAAAAGTCTAGGCAAAGGCCAAGGCCCAAGACTAGGGTTTTTCAGGACTAAAGGCTTTCAGTACTGGGGAACTACACAAAAGACTACATATAATCTAATGTGCAATCAGGTACACTGCTCTCCCTACAGCTGATTTGTTTAGGATGTAAGTATGCATATATCTGCCACTTCATTTACTATCACTGGCCTCTTCTTTCCAGATAATCAGGTAATTTGTGGTAGGGCATGCTACCCTGAGTAGGAATACAATTAACAGTAAAGCAGATACTACAGTGTAGACCTAGAATGTTCCAAATAATACTAGTGCTCTACGCACATTTCCATTTAATCTTTACAACCCTTTCTTTGAAGAAGATAAACATGCTTGGGTGAGACCATACAGAGTACAAGACACAATTGAGAATCAATGCCAGCTTCACTTGACTCAAAAGATGCCTTATTCTTTGCATGACTCTGTGCTGTCTTTCCTGTGCTAACTCATTCTGGCTGCCTCAAAGCTAAAAAGACTGCCTAAAAAAGGTTCCCATATATACTTCATCTGTCTGTCCAGGTCAAGGGTCATGCCCTTGCTCCTAGATTCTTCAACAATAGTCTGAAATAAGCATCTGATCTGGGGAACCAGAACAGCTTCAGAAAGATTCAATTCTAGAGATGATGGAGCTCACCAGGGAATCCCAGACATTTCCTTGGATTGTTTGCAGACTGGCATTTGATCATTTGATTATAATCTTCCTATACTACAAAACACACTTCACTGATCTTCATACGTGCCTTGGCTTGCCTGTTCCCTTCCACGCCATAACCTTGGCTACTTCCTCCTGTCCGGGATGCCCATTCCCACCTGTTAGAATTCCATCCTTCTTCCTCTAAGTAGAATGGGACTCCGTAATCCCCAGGGGTCCCCAACCTTAGCCCAGGGGCAGTACTCACATGACAGAACACTGAGCAAAGGACAGATAATCCACCAGCACATCCAAGCCTTTGTTTTCATCATTAAGAAACTCCCGAACCCACCTGCAGATAAGAGGAAACACAATGGCAGTGGGATCTGCTCAAGTGGGTTAAGAGGGGCCTCTGAACCCTTTTTGGATCACTCTGCAGCCTGGCTGGGAAAATCCTCAAAACCAAAACCTACAATATCCCTTCATGGTCATGTCTTATGAGCTAGGGATGTAGAAAAGCACAATACCACTTGCTTTCGTGTGAACATGCTTCAAGTCAAGCACACTTCTAAGCACTTTTTCTTTATGGGCCATGGCTCTGGTGCAATCATTTTCTGTATCCCTTAGAGATAGTACAGGCTTAGCAAAATGTTATTGCTCAATGTTCGTTCAAAGAATTGGGGAGGTATTTTTAAGGAAGTTAAAATATGTAACTAAATACAGGTGTGGGGCAGTAGGGGGAAGGGAGAATAAAAGTAATAGAGGGGGTAACTATGATCCAAAGGACAGCATATATATTATTTTTAAAAATACCACAATTAGTTGGGTGCTGGTGGATCAGACCTGTAATCCTAGCTACTCAGGAGGCTGAGATCTGAGGATTGTTCTTTTGAAGCCAGCCAGGGCAGAAAAGTTTTTGAAACTCTTATTTCCAAATAACCACTCAGAAAAAGACAGAAGTGGCACTGTAGCTCAAGTGATAGAGCACTAGTCTTAAACAAAAGAAGCTCAAAACAGTACCCAAGGCCCTGAGTTCAAGCCTCAGGACCGGCAAATAAACAAAACACAATGTAAGCCTTCACTCTCTCTGTATAATTAATACACACAAAAAAATAATTTTTTAAAGAAGTTAAGGAGTGGGCTGGGAAGGTGGCTCAGTGGTAGAGCGCATGCCTTGCATGCCAGAGGCCCTGGGTTCGATTCCTCAGCACCACATAAGCAAAAAGAAAAAAGCCGGAAGTGGCACTGTGGCTCAAGTGGTAGAGTGCTAGCCTTGAGCTGAAGAGCTGAGGGACAGCGCCCAGGCCCAGAGTTCAGGCCCCAGGACCGGACCCAAAAAAAAAAAAAAGTTAAGGAGTATTTACCTCTGTGTTCTGAGCAATGCTTTGACAGAGAGAGCAAGTTCCCAGGTTGACTCAAGTCTCAGTCAAGATACTGGCAGAGGGGCAAAGAGAGCTCTGAAACGGGGTTACTGAGTGAAAGGGCTCTCCACAGATTTCAAGGAAAGCAGTTTAAGGAAGCAGTGAGCAAAGTGGGACATGAGTTACATATGTAGTCACAGTGAGTCTGGTGAGCAGAAAAGGCTGGGGATGACCAGGAACTCAAAGAACTCCAGAATACCATGACCATTTGGGTTCAGATGACGATGGGAGGCAGGTATACAGAAAACAGGAAATGTGAAGGATAATGTCCTAGGGCATTTTTGCCTACTGCCTTCACTCCTTTTAGGACAAAAAGCAGAGCAAATTCCAGAAGGAATGTTATATTACAAGCTCATTCCACAAAGACATAAACCCTCAGGATAAAAAAAAAATCCTTACTCTCCTGAGTTCTCTATTCTGTATAAGCCAGCTATACCCAAACTGCTCTACAAAGCCACTTTTCAAACACAACTGAAGCACCAGCACCATGTTGGCTAGACACACCCCAAGCAGGAGAGAGGCTGGGGCTGGAACACCAGGCCAGGCTGAGATTTGGCAGCAGCCTCTGGCTGAAAGCTGACTGACACCGGAGCTGCCTGAAGTTAGCTTCCTCTCTGGAGGCCTACAGGCCTCCCGTTTCCTGTCTGTCTGCTCTCCAGCTCCCCACCCCCTTCTCATTTCCTGTCTGAGTCTACACTGCTATTTTCGGGATCTTGACACTTTGAGGAAAGGGCAAAGGTCACTTAGGCAAGGCAGAGAAACCAATACAAACCAGGGAGGGAGGAGGAGTTGCAGGGGCTCTGGAATCCTTACTTCCTAGCAGGCCTCACTCCATACTTTGCTTTTGTAAGTGGTTCTGCAGACCCCTATGAGCAAGGAAGGAGTACCTACTCTTCTTCACCTTGACCTGATCTCCTCCTTCCAGCTTACCACACACACACACACACACACACACACACACACACACACACACACCCTAGCTATCCCAATAACTACCGCACACACACACACACTAGCTATCCCAATAACTACCCAGGAGCGCGCACGCGCACGCACACACACACACACACACACACACACACACACACACACATCCTAGCTATCCCAATAACTACCCAGGAAAGTCTTAAGTCAGATGGCATAGAGTACTAAGTATTCCCTGGGAATTAAGGACAAGTCTAGACCTCTGTGTGTCAACTGCCAAGGGGCCCTGATGCCTGGGACCCATGTTAGTCTGGGCCTAAATCTAAGACAAAAGCCAGGGAGGCAGCAACTCTGTAGAGTGAGAAGGGAGAAAAGACTGTTACACACTGCCGTGGTCCTCTGTCTACCAAGACCCCCATCATCACTCCAACTACAGGAGGACTTAAGGAAGACAGCAGGACCTGAGAGGGAGCCCTGTGGAGTAGCAAGGGTACGCAGGACTGCAGTGGGTGTCACTCTTGCCCTCACTCTTGAGGCAAACTGAGGAGCCAAGTTTCTTTCTGTGAAAGATTCACCGAGTGTGGAACCTTGGCCACACCTTTCCCATTGGCTTGGCTTTCCATTACTGGTCAGATGAGTGTAGAAGCCACGTCCTGGCCACCACAGCATACCTTCTGAGGCCAGGAACTGTCCCTTTCCTGCCCTCTCCTGCACTGTTTCCTTTGTGACTGCAGCAGCTGACTACACCAAGATGACTTTCCCTGTAAAGAGTCCCAAGCAGGCTCCGCGTGCAGGCAGGCAAGCAGGCCACTACTGTGACAAGAGAGGAAAGGCTAATTGTGTCATTTGGCTTTTCCCATTCTACTCTCAGGAAGCTTAGGGACCTGGGACTGGCATCTACCCAGTAACCGCACCCTTCCCTCTGGCTCCACTTCTCATTCACTGAGGCACTTACCAAGTCAGGTACTTCTCAGTGAATGAGAAGTCAGAACTCCTGACAGCAGACCTTCAGTCCTACACATCAGGTGTCCCTGGGCTTTCTGTATGTCTTCACACAGTCTCCTCTTTCCTCCTCTTACTCTCTGCATCTCCCTTTGTCCGCCAATCTGTTTCTCTCTCTCTCTCTCTCTCTCTCTCTCACCCTATATATTTTTGCTGGTTAGTTTCACAGAACCAAGGCATTGCCTTCTTTCCTTGGACCTAACTGGCCTTCCGCCTCCTCAGTAACACCTGGCTCCCCACTCAGACTGGAAAGAAGACTCATAGATCCAGGGAGCTCTGTCAATCACTTGGTAGCATCAAGATCTGTACATACAGGAAACGTTCAACTCCTGCCTTACATATTTTCTGGTGTTCCAGGAAGCTTCTGTTTAGGACCTAAAATTGTTTCCTCTTAAGAAAGTAAGTGTTGGTAGCTCATGACTAATCCTAGCTATTCGGGAGGTTGAGATCTGAAGATCATGATTCAAAGTCAGACTTGGCAGGAAAATTTGTGAAACTCTCATCTCCAATTAATCACCAAAAAGCGAGAAGTACAGCTGTGTGGCTCAACTGGTAGAATGTCAGCATTGACCAAAGGAAGCCAAGTGAGAACAACTGGCCCAGGGAGGAGCAGCACAAAAAAAAAAATTTTTTTTAAGTAGCCAGGTGCCAGTGGCTCACACTTATAATCAATCCTAGCTACTCAGGAGGCTGAGATAATTGCAGTTGGAAGCCAGCCCAGGCAAGAAAAAGTCCATGAGACACTTACTTCCAATTAACCAATAGAAAACTGGAAGTGGTGCTGTGGCACTAGCTCTGAGGAAAAAAAAAAAAGTAAATAAAGTGGACACCAAAAAGCCCAAGTGGTCATCACATAGGAAGTAGCTCTCAGTAACCTCCCACCCTCAGCCTTCTCTGGGCCCCGCTTGGCTCAGTACCAGGCCACAAACAGACTCTAGTCTCAGCTGCTGTGGGAATGTCTTCTACCCAAAGCCACAGGATGAGGCCCTCAGGAGAGGCCCCAAACTTGCCAGAAGGATCCAGTCAGCAGCTGGCAGAACTAGACGGTGGCGGGGGGGGGGGGGGGTGTGAGAGCCAGGAAAGGCACAGTCTAAAGCCCTGGGGAGCCAGGATCCATTCCAGGGGAAACTCTATGACAGGAAGGCTAAATAGCAAATCATCCTCAAAGGACACCAGGTCCTATGTAGCAGCAACACCTGGACCAAATGGAGAGTCTGGGATGGCCAGATTTAACTCACCCAATGTGATTGGTGCGAAGAGAGATCTCTAGCTCCCGCAGAACTTTGGTTGACTCCTGTACTCTCCTCCTGAACTTCTGTGAACATAGAATCATCTGTCACTGATAGAGACCCCCTCCAACTTTCTCTTTTAGAGATAGTCTTGCTACTATGTAGCCCAGGCTCGCACCGAACTTGAAATTCTCCTGCCTCATCCTCCCAAGATCTAAAATTACAAGCATGTACCACCATGCCTGGCTATCCAACTTTACAGTATAAACCAAGGGTTCAGAAAAAGAATGGAAGGGTAAAGAGACCTCCAGCCTGGAAAGCCACTCCAAATCCCTGGCCTCAGAACCCACAAATCCAACTCTTATTTGCTCAAAAGCAGATGTCCCAAGTCAAAGGGTTTGTGCCCAGATACCACAGGACCAATATAGGCAGCAACAGGAGGACTAGCTGTCTCATACTTCACCTTCCGAGTTACACTGGGGTCCAAGAAGCTCTGGAGTTTCTGGATATAAGTGTGGGGAGGATTCTTCACCTGGAACCGTTCCTATAAAGGAAACATGTATACATGTACAAATGTACACACAGAAACACAGAGCCTAAGGAAGACACCAAGGAAAGACTGTTCAATGTAAGGGGGCTTGGCCTCCCAGCTGTCACGTGGCCCTTAGTATCACTCAAATCCTAGGTTTCTATAACTTATCCCCAGGCATTTCTCATCTTTTGTAATCTTCTTCTCCAATGAGTGATCTCTGGGCCTAAAATGTTTTTCTATGTCAATTAAGTATGCTGGTTACTAAAATGCAGGGATTACAGCACTATGACCAGTACCAAAAACAAAGATAGGACTGGAGAATGCTGTTCTCTGGTTTTAGGAAGACCAAGGGAATGAGATCCTGGCCTTGCAGAACCCAGCTTTTATAACTCCAAACCCTGTAAATGGAACTAAACTGGCTAAGAGTGTTAACACAGCTCAGGGCTACAGTCAAGCCTCAAGTCCCAACAATGCAAGGCAAAATCCTGCTGCTTTAAGCCAGGTCACCTCCCAATCCCCTTCTCATGGGGCACAGGGGAAAATACCCTCTCTATTTTGGCTCAACTCCTTCATCTGGCCCAAGAAGAAATGTGGAAAACTCCACTGACAAAAAAATCTAAAAATCTTGAGGATGACAGAGAAGCCCCAAGAATGGGGCTACAAAACAACACAATGTTAGGAAACAGGACCTGGAAACAAATTAAAGGAAAAAACAAAGTTTGAGAATGCTTATGTGACCTCGAAAAGACTGTGATATTATTGAAGAGTCTCAGTACCAAAGAGCTACTGCTTGTCAAACCCCAAGCAGGTGCCGACCAACTCTTTTTAATGTAGAGCCCAAGGGGATGGGTCTCCATGAGGAAAAAGAAGCTTGGATTAGGGCCTCTGAATCAGATGGTAAAGGGCACAGTTGGTACAGACCTGGCACCAGCTTGCCTAAGCCCAATCTGGCTCTATCCACTTACCAGCAATAGGCAGGTTCATGAACTATGTGACTCTTCAAATGCAAGTTCCTTCCTCAGAGGATTTTTATGAGGACTGAATTAGTATGTGTAGAGTCCTTGATACATAACCAGCATTCAATAAATGCTAGCTGTTATTTTATTAAGAGCTTGAAAAGAAATAGATCTTTTTTCATGACAAGGGCTATGGAAAAAGTGCTAGGTAGGGCTGGGAAGATGGCTCAGTAGTAGCGTGCTTGCCTCTCATACATGAGGCCCTCGCTTCAATTCCTCAGCACCACATAAGCAGAAAAAGCTGGAAGTGGCGCTGTGACTCAAGTGGTACAGTGCTATCCTTGAGCTGAAGAGCTGAGGGACAGCACCCAGGCAGAGTTCAGACCCTACAACTGACAAAAAAAAAAAAAAAAAAGAGTGCTAGGTAAACACTAGCACTGGGCAGGGTCTATCCATACCTACAAAGAAATATGAAAGAGGAAGCTAAAGCCTGGAAGATAGACCCATCTAAATTCAAAAGTTCATGACCCACTCATGACCCTGAAATATAGGCAGGTAAAGAACCAGGTATTAAAAGATCTTGGCTCTAGCCAGGTGCTGGTCACTCACACCCGTAATCCTAGCTACTCAGGAGGCTGAGATCTGGGGATCACAGCTTGAAGCAAGCCGGGACAGGTGGGACAAGTCTGTAAGACTCATTACTAATTAACCACCAAAAAGCCAAAAGTAGAGTTGTGGCTCAAGTGGAAGAGTGCTAGCCTTAAGCAAACAAACAAACAAAAGCTCAGGGACAGTACCAACAACAGCAGGAATAAGAACAAAAACAAACAAAAACAAAAAACCCCTTGGTTCTAAGCGAAGTAATACTCTCTCTTCTCATCTAGCTCTAGACACTATAAGGAAAGCCAGATTTCTTTACTCTTCCAAAATTTGGGAAGAGGAGACTAGACGACAGGTTTTTCATTCCTAGAAGTCTTCAGATAATGAGAAGCACCATGCTATTTGCCTGGAGTAAAGTGAGAGATAAAGGCCAGGTCCTTGAGTCCCAGTCCTATGGAAAGGCAGAAGCAGGCTCTGCTGGGAAAACTACCTGCCTCTTCCATAGGCAGCCTCACACAAAGCACTTCAGCACCCACTGCCCACTGGAAACTACCAAAATAGCACTTTTTGGACCTTGGTCTAATAGTTCTGTCTCTGTCATGAGTCCCCTTAACTAGGCTGGGGTTCCTGCCAGGGCTACAGTTGATGCCTTTGACTTTCCTGCCTTGTATAGTCCAACACTATTCCCCACCTCCCTGCTTTCCCCAAGCACATACCTGATCACAGATCAGATCCCACTTCTTCTCATTGTCATACTGCCGCAGGAGCCGGGCCTTGTCAGGAGGCAGGTTCATAGAGCTCTGAAGAATAGAAATGAACAGACTGAACCCCTGCCTATATGCATGCGCATGCAACACACACACACACACACACACTCTCTCTCTCTCTCTTTCTTTCTCTCTCACTCTCTCTCTCTCTCTGAAGGACAGAAAGGCTAAAATTACCTGTCTTTCCTTCCTAGGCTATCAGACTTCACCTTGACTCTGCTGCTGCTCACACAGCCTAAAAAGGTGATGCCACTCTCCTGCCTTCCTATTGTATTAGTTGGATTTGGTTGAACAATGTCTTCTAAAACCACAGGTCATAAAATAGACGGTAATGAAGAAAAATTAAACTTTTTAAAATGGAAATGAGGGCTGGAAAGGTAGCTCAGTGGTAGAGCGCTTGCCTTGCATGCATGAGGCCCTGGGTTCCATTCCTCAGCACCACATAAGCA